CGTTGAGAGTAAATTCAGTATATATATCAATAAAGCCACATTCTCAGCATCATTAATTAAGCAATAGCCAACCTTTCATGCTTCTGCTATCACATTTTTATGTTTCGCTTTCAATTGAGATAAGAACGATTTCACCTACGATTCGGTAGGGAAGATCGAAGCATCACGATAGTCAGTAGTAGGATGAGCAGACAGGAACGCTTTGAAAGCAGCTACAAGCTTAATATTGTACTCGGCTTGCTGCACAATATCTACCAAGGTGGTTCTAAACGGTTCTTGAATACCTGTGCGTGTCATTTGGAGACTTCCATGCTTCTTGTGCTTGGCCGTTAAATTCGTGATGCGCTGACGGATTTCAGTCACCTCACCACTTCAAATCATTTTTCGCAGCCTCAACGCTGAAAGAGTGCGGGAAATGCCTTTTTTTTAGCCAATAAACATGTCCAAAAATTTTCAGTTCAAATTAAGAAAAAACGGATTAGGTAGTGAGGAGGCCTGTTAAGAAATATAAGGACATTCGTCTCTACATAGGAACATTTACGTTTAGCCTATAGCGATAATCAAACAAAAATATATATACTAGAGAACAGTCTTTCTTCTTTTGTACCTGCTCACGAGATCACTACGAAGTTTTTATTTTCTTGAGTTTTAGTTCTTGCTTATAAAACAGTCAAAATTCCTTTAACTTGTACATTTGTATTTAACAGTAAAGTACTGTAAAGTGTTTTACATTTCCATTTGGTGCTAATGTAATTCATTTACACTTCTGAAAAGTTACTTTCGTACTTCTAAACCATCATTTTGAACAACATAACGTCTTTTCTACGCATGACTGTCCTTAATTTTGAACTGATAGACGGGAAGACAAGGATATAATCAACAGCACCCACTGTTAACTCTTAGGTTACGATTGTCTAATCGAATAGTGAGATTTCACTGTCACTCTTATAGTGCACCCACAAATAGAAAGATCCGAATTAGTTTTTTGTGGCATAGGACGCGAACCGAAAACCTATGGATTCAAATCCGTGCACGCTAACGCTAGGCCTACATAATTTCTACTCGAGAACGTTTATATCCAATACCTTTCCGTTTACTTTCAATAGTTTGTCCTATAATTTTGCAATAGTACAACCTCAGAATTCTTATTCGATTGTTTGTTTGGAACTAAGCACAAAGCTACACAATGGGCTATCTGTGCTCTGCCCACCACGGGTATCGAAACCCGGTTTCTAGTGTTGCAAGTCCGCAGACATACCGCTGTGCCACTGGGGACAAATTCTTATTTGAAATTATAACGTTTTAAATCGAAGCCTTACTTATAGCAATGTATATTGATACTCGGCATTAATGATATTGTTAAATCAATCTTTTAAAGGTAAGAGAAACCATACGTCAGCTTTGTTTTATCGCTACAAAAACCTTAGGTTAAACAGCCACGTTAGAAACCCGTAGAATTGTGGTATAGCCGTTTCTAATTTTGAACTCTGACTGGAAGGACTACACAGCCCGACACGATAATCACTAGTCAAGCTCAACCAATGGTGCAAAAACAAGGACTACTTCAGCTAAACTTTAAACTCCTGTGTGAAATAAAATGTTTTTGCCTAGAGGAAAATTTAGAAAAACTTAAGAACTTAGAAAAGTTATATTTTAAAAGATTAGTTTTTGGTATGATATTTAACAAAATACAGAAGTTTTATAAGGCCTGATAATACCATGATCGAGTATTCTAAGCCTAACTCTAACAAGTTTGTTTGTTTGTTTTGAATTTCGCGCAAAGCTACACAAGGGCTATCTGTGCTAGCCGTCCATAATTTAGCAGTGAAAGACTAGAGGGAAGGCAGCTAGTCATCACCATCCACTGCCAACTCTTGGGCTACTATTTTACAAACGAATAGTGGGATTTACCGTCACATTATAACGCCCCCCACGGTTGAAAGGGCGAGCATGTCTGGTGGGACGGGGATTCGAACGCGCGACCCTCAGATTGAGAGTCGAGCGCCCTAACCACGTGGCCATGTCTGGTCCCTCTAACAAGTAACGAGAATATAAACCGCTGAGGAAACAAAAATGATTATAAACTTTAAATTTCACCAGCTCTACTATAACTTATGTTAACACCCCTCGTATAATTAAATCATGCTAATTTCTCGGTTAAAACATGTTCCGATTGATTAAAAAGTATATGTATATATATGATACACATTAAACTCGTGATAACATTATTATTAGTTTTTTTAGCAAATGTGGTTGCATCAAATTTGTCGAATCTTTTTATTTCTGGTCCATTATCACGAAAACAATTGTAGTTTATAAATATATGCCACATAACACAATATAATGTTGTTTCTTTTCTATATTACATCAATAAGATATGTAATCTGCATTCAACTAATCCATAATTCAAAATGTGGCCACAAAATGCTAATACTTATTTTTCTGTAGAGACATAAGATATAAATATAACTACCACTGGATGGCAGTGTATGGTAATTATTCAAAATGTTACATGCATACACCAAAACATAGGGCATTGATTTCTAATTGGCCTGTCCAAAAAGACAGTTCTTCAAGGAACTACACGCAAGTTACAAAATCAATTAATGATTTAAAGAACGCCGCAGTAGCATTTATATTGAGCAGAGTTTTACATCAGTGCCTGAAGTCTATTTCCCCAAAGCCTCGTTCGCACATACAACACCCAAAACAGTGGTAAGAATTTACAAATATTTTAATACGCTCAATCTGTAAATAAAAAATACTAAATAAATATTAAATACAAAGCTTTCAAGTCGTTCAGGAACTACGAACCAAAAAGTTTATTTAATAACTGACGGCATAAATAAGATATATTTTTATATTTTCGAGTTTAATGAATACCAAATAATAGCATGATCTCAAGGATCGTCGGAAGAGAACGGTATTGACGACAACAAATCAGAAAATAAATAAAATATATTGCCCTTCAAGCAATTTTTTTTTCGGTAACGCTTTGAATATTATACATATATAATGCCCCTAAACACTAGGGGATTAAGCCGACTAGGTTTTTAGTGCAGCAGTACGTAATTGTAAACAGTTACATTAATCTCACTCAGAACAGTCTTTCATTTTCTATCGATTAGAAGTTATTAAACCCCATAAGCCTATTTTCTTAAGAGCTATATTATTCTGTTAACCACTACATAAAACGGTTTAAGCCAGTAATATAAAGGTTTTTCACGACTGGAATTGGTGAAACGCATCTTGTTTAGTGAGAGCTAAGGAAAACTGAGTATTTAAAATTTTATTTCTTACAAGTTTACTAAACAGGCTTGTTTGGTTTGTTATGAATTTCGTGCAAAGCTACACGAGGGCTATCTGTGCTAGCCGTCCCTAATTTAGCTGTGAGAGACTAGAGGGAAGGCAGCTAGTCATCACCATCCACCGCCAACTCTTGGGCTACTCTTTTACTAACGAATAATGGGATTGACCGTCTCCTTATAACTACCCCACGGCTGAGAGGGAGAGCATGTTTAGTGGAATTGGGATTCGAACCCTGGCTGTGCATGGCCCTTCCTAAACAGAATTTTATAAGGTTGCATTTATATATTTTTCCCTGCAGCTATACGATAAAAACCAACGAGGTGCAAATTATCCATTCTTCAAGTTTTGAAATGACGCCCATGTTATCAGTCGATGATAACAGTAGTATTAAACTACAACACCCATGATATCAGTCGATGATAACAGTAGTATTAAACTACAACACCCATGTTATCAGTCGATGATAACAGTAATATTAAACTACAACACCCATGTTATCAGTCGATGATAACAGTAGTATTAAACAACCATGTTATCAGTCGATGATAACAGTAGTATTACACAACAATGTTATCAGTCGATGATAACAGTAGTATTACACAACAATGTTATCAGTCGATGATAACAGTAGTATTAAACACCCATGTTATCAGTCGATGATAAACAGTATTATTAAACAACCATGTTATCAGTCGATGATAAACAGTATTATTAAACAACCATGTTATCAGTCGATGATAACAGTAGTATTACACAACAATGTTATCAGTCGATGATAACAGTAGTATTACACAACAGTTATCAGTCGATGATAACAGTATTATTAAACAACCATGTTATCAGTCGATGATAACAGTAGTATTACACAACAATGTTATCAGTCGATGATAACAGTAGTATTACACAACAATGTTATCAGTCGATGATAACAGTAGTATTAAACAACCATGTTATCAGTCGATGATAAACAGTATTATTAAACAACCATGTTATCAGTCGATGATAACAGTAGTATTACACAACAATGTTATCAGTCGATGATAACAGTAGTATTAAACAACCATGTTATCAGTCGATGATAACAGTATTATTAAACAACCATGTTATCAGTCGATGATAACAGTAGTATTAAACTACACCTCAGCAAACACTAAGCATGTGGAAAGTTGTAGCAAAATTAACTAACTCTTTATGCCACGAAACACGTGATTTTCTCCTTTTTCATAACACTAGCAACTTATAAAGCTTCCAAATATTTATTAGTGTTTCGTAACTAACATTGTAATATATATACATATATAAAAAATAGTACGTTAAATAGGGAAAAGATCTGATGATGACAAAACCTTGTCGAAACAAAACGTTGTACATTTGCTGTTATGTTAAACTTATGTTAACGTTTTTCTTCATTACCCATTCAAGCCGTCTCAAAGCATTATCTGATGGATGTTTTGTTAACGTTACAAGCAATACAGAAAGCTTGACCTATGTACACATACGAGGAAGATATCCTTATCTTAAAAATACACCAAAAAAAAATACTTTACTAAATACATAACACAATGTATTCTTGTATCAACAACAGTTTTAAATACAATCAGTTTTATTTTCAAAAAAGACAAAAAAAAAAACAAAAAAAAAGCTTGTATTACGTATTTGAACAAAGGTGATGTCATTAGTTTAGAAAGACATCAAGAAACTAAAGATTTATTTCAAGAAGTAAATAATACAAAATGTATTATATTTGTAACCAGGACAAACTTAAATCTAATCATTTTTATTTTCATTACTTAATGCCATCAATCAGTACTAACAAACCATACTCACTAATGATGTAGTTAACTATCCGAAAAGTAATTTCATTTATTTATTTATTTGGAGGATAGCTGAATGAATTTTTTCAACGTTTCTTTTAACAGGTTTATTCATATGAACAATACCTAAAGTTTGAGATCAGGGTTCTTTACTTTTGGATCAGTCTTAACTATTGTACATAAACATCATATTGTAATATAAAACACACACACACACACACACGTGCATGACAAGCTTTATAAAATAAACCGACCATATTTTGTTATCCCAACGAAGGTTATTAATGTAAAAACCTAGATGTATATTTCAAAATACTTACAGAATAATTTATCTCAACAAATGAAAGTAACAAAAAGTAAACAGAAAATTTTAACGAAGGTGTTTGGAAATGTCAGAAAATGTTCACTAAAAACAGTTGACCACTAAAGCTTGCGATTTTTTTTTTTTTTGAAATTATCAAAATTTAGCCCTCGGACATTTATATTAAAAAAACTGTATATATCAGAAGTCCCATGAATGGTGTTTATATGTGGCTTGTATACTTAAAGGTAAATACTTAAGATAATAAAACATACCTTGATTCACTAGGACATCCTCAACAACAACAAAAAAAAAACCTTTTTTGATAAGTTTATTAATCATTTCAGTTGCACGTTAAAGTTAATCTGGGTGGTTTTCCTTCATACACATCCCTGCATAGTTAATTATAAATTTTTTTAAATGAATAATGACTTCAAATTCTCTCTTGATTTCAACTCATTCTTCTGTCTCATTATAGATTGCTACCTAAAGTCTGATGTTCACAACTTTAATTCTTGGTTACTCTTAATATTCTTAAATCTCACCCTCTGGTTTTAAGGACACGTGTATTTCAAAACTACAATTTAAAACCAACTATCAGAGTCCCTAAACTTAAACTTACTGTTATTGTAAAAATATTTCAAAATACAGAACATCATTTAAATCAAGTCCTGCATATATCTGATCAATAAATTCATATGGAACTTTTTAATAGTTCTTACTTCGCACATAGCTACAGATTACTAAAGTGTTTCCAATTAAAAACTGTACTTACAAGTAAACACTTATTCCTCCTTCCTCTACATCACTAGACCAAATATAGAACCTGTTTGTAAAATTTACTTTAAGCCACAAATTTTACAACAGATTGATTTAAAACTAAACTGACAAGCAAAATCTTTGTGTTGTAATTCAGCACTTGATAAAAAAAAACAATCTATCTATATACAAAAACAGGCTGAATAATGAAAACCTTAGAAATTACATTTACTTGCAATTAAGTCAAAATCAGACCTTCACTTATACATTGGGCAGACTAGTAGAATAAAATCATCGCTTCGGAAATGTGCAACATCACCAAATTATCACATAAATCTATGCTGAATATCAAAAAATATGTGACAAATATCTCCACATATCACACTCACTACTGGATACTATTATGCACTTATACAAGTTTAAAAACAGTGAAAGGAAAATGTAAACATTTTGATAACAGTTTATTTAAAAAGCAATGACTTAAAAAGTTGTTCTTTTAAGTACATAAGCTACACTTTTATTTTTACATTTTTTTTTGTTGTTGTTTTTTTTACACGCACAGTAGTATTAAGAACAAATATTTAGACACATTACCTAGTAAAGTTTCAAGTCTATGTTGGCATCAGATACCTTAGTGCACGATGCAATATATATATATATATATATATACAATTATCTTTCCATCCCATTTTACAATATCTTTTTGGCTAATCAGAAAAAGAATGCCTAAATATCATAATATTTTACAACCTTTATTAAGTATCCTCAAACCCACTAACATAAGCCTGTGAAAAATTGAAAAGCTTACCTCCTAAATATCATACACATGTACATATTTACAAGAGCATTTTTTTTTACAAGTTATAATCTTATTGCTACATTAAAACATGTCTATGGAAGGAAAGAGAATAAAAAACTGTGGTATCTTTCAACAAGTTTCTATTAACATAAGAAATTAGATTTCAATCACTTTATATAACACATAAACAGTGGATATAAACTGTTATAATTCCTTCACTTTACAGTTCCATGAATACCAAGCAGACTAATAAAACATTTAATTATAAAAAAAAGAAGGCATATGAACAGACCAGATGATACTTGAAACAAATAATTTTAGTTCTCATTATTATCATAGAAGGGCAAGTCTACATCTGTCTAATTTTGAAAGAAAACACGTGTCCGTGACATGAACAGACACTTCAGACAGGGTAAAGCAAATATTACTTTTTTTTAGCTTGCTATTTGGTGTCCACTTATAGGTGGCAATACTTATCAAATTTCATGTCAATAAATTGGGGAATAGAACAGTTGGAAAAAGATGTTTAATTACTCCATGACTGATTACAAGATGTTTAGTGAAAAAAAATTGATTCTGAAAGGATATTCCTAACAGTCCCCCCTCCCCCTTCCATATTAATAAAAAGGTTTTAAGAAATATGAAGTGAGATGTAAGTGGAAAACTGATTAATGCAGAGTCTTCACTTTAGCTATAAGAATGGTACAACATCTATATGAAAGATCTTCAAAAAGACATGAATTTAAAAGAAGGTGTAACAACTTTTTAGTAAATGACAACAATAAAAGAGAAAAACCATTAAATAGAAATATGACTGTGAAGATAAAACAAAATAATATATTGGCAACCTACTATGTGAAATTTTGATTTGTCTCAAATACACTGCTTATAGCATATTGTTACAACATGACAATGATATCGAAAAACATTATTTTGTCTGTTTCAGAGTTAAAGTAAGCACGTGACATACAACAGCTTGGGAGATCAAATTTGACTGGGATTCCCAATCTGTTTCATAAAACTCAGGTTCAATATAACTAGAAAAATATGAAGATCATAACCATAAGTTTGTGACATAAAACTAATAATTGTGGTGTCTAAATGGAATTTTTGTATGAAAACTTGGTATGTTTCTTGAAATTGAACTCACAACATTGATATAGCAACAGGTTAGGAAATACAGGAAAACTGTAATACCACTTGAAGGAACACAATACCATTCTACAAACATAACCTGAGGAGGATGAAATGCGTTAAAATTATTCAAAAACAAACTTTAAAGGCTTTGTGAACAAAGTCTGAAGTATGACACACAACTAACAATCTTTCACGTCACTCAATATCATTTTTGTCTAACAGGCTTTTTTCTCTTCTTCTTGAAAAAGCAGCAACACCTAAAACATCAAACAATTTAATCACCACACGAAAGCACAAAAGTATTATAAGTCTATGATACTAAAGATTAAAAATAATATTGCTGTTAATATTTTTTCTAACATAATTTTTTGGAAACAATTAAAGACAACATGCTAGTTATGTATGAAAAATTTAAAATAAGTAATAATATACATAAACATTAAGTAGGCAGTACAAAACAAAATTCTATATTTTACTTCTGGGTTTTTTGAAGATATACGAATATTTTTAAGCAGCCAATAACATTTCATGCCCTAAAGTATATAGTTTTTTTAAAGAAAAAAAAATCTTTCAATCCTATTATTATTGCACCTTTTTAAAATTGTCGTGTAATTTTTACCTTAACTTTTTAAAAACTTCTTAAATATTCACAATAAATCGTTCTCGTGGTTGTTGTTAGTGTTTCATTCAAATCTAAGATGGCATCAGTGTTAAGGAGTTACTAAACTAACATGCTTGGTTTTGACTTTCATACATATGTACATATGTAAACCAATAAAAAATGTATTCAAGTAAGATCTAAGTTGCATTTAAAAGCAGAAACCATAATGTAGTGAGCAAAATAATTAAGTAAGATCTAAGTTGTATTTAAAAGCAGAAACCATACTGTAGTGAGCAAAATAATTAAGTAAGATCTAAGTTGTATTTAAAAGCAGAAACCATACCGTAGTGAGCAAAATAATTAAGTAAGATCCAAGTTGCATTTAAAGGCAGAAACCATACCATAGTGAGCAAAATAATTAAGTAAGATCTAAGTTGTATTTAAAAGCAGAAACCATACCATAGTGAACAAAATAATTAAGTAAGATCTAAGTTGCATTTAAAAGCAGAAACCATACCGTAGTGAACAAAATAATCAAAATGTAAAAATTCGTTATACATTTCACAGTTGTGAAGAAATTCCAAAAAAAAACATAGAAGGATAAATTGCAAAATTATGATTAAAGAAAATTCAAGACCTACTTTGCTTCAGAAACAACTTCCACTTCTACAGGTCCCGTAATAGGTGTATTAGAGTATCCAATAGTTGGGTCATCATTACCTAGTTCTCCATTAGTGGAACTTACAACCTGTACTGACCCCTGCCGGTCAGCAAGGGTTAAATGTCCAGTTAGAAAGTTTCTACCAGTCTGTCTTCTATGTTCGTTCCATACAGTCCTCTGATGTAATCCCTAAGTACAAAAAGTTCTGATATTCAAGACAGATTTGCTTGTTTCTTTGTTTGTTTTAGAAAATTGCCCAAATCTATACAACAGCTATTTTTACAAACAGCATCCATAATTTTGAACTTATAGACTAGAGTACAGACAGCTAGTCAACAACACCCACTCCAGTCAACAACGCCCACTCCAAATCTTGAGCACTTTTCTCTGATTGAATAGTGGGATTTTACTCTTTTGTGACGATGGATTGTAAACCGTGAATCCTTAAGATTCACAGTCCTGGTCAATACAGAAGGTAAATATTGGTATAACATTTCACAAATAACAAACCATTACTTATAACTTGTACTTATAAGCTTAATATTTATAAGATAGAAATCAAACTCATGAAAAATACTTAAAAAATGGAATTTCGTAATTACCTCACTTACAAAATCAAATGATTTAAAACTTTCAACTTAACTCTACTAATGTGAAACAATCTTTAAAATTTTCCGTACTTATTGCCTTATAAAGTTACTTATCAATAACAAAAAAGTCCAATAGAAAACAATATGGGATATTTCATAAAGTGCATTCTGTATTTCCTGAATCACATTTTTGTCACATCTGCCAACAAACATTTTGTTGGTAAAATCTATAACAAATATTTTTTTATCCTTAACATTTCTGTAGTAAAACCATCATTTTTTTCACTTATATCTAACATCTCAAACCCAGGTCAAATGTCAAAAAATATTTTGATTAATACAAACAAAAAAAAAACCCTGATAACACATTTTGTGGAGTTAGTTGTAATTAAGGTTTCAAGAAATAAATAACTTTAATGTATTCCAGTTATTAAAAAACAATTGTATTTGATAATTCCAATAACAAAAAGATACGTTTTATCGTCACGCATTTCAGTTATCAGTAAAACGAGTTTTCAAAACATGTCAACAATAAAAAAAATACAAACAGCTTCAAACTATACACTTGTTAAAAGAAACTGCAAACTTTAATTAGGCATTTAAAATGCAGAGAAAAAGATCCAAAACCAGTGCATTAGCTGAGAAGAAAGTGACCAACTGTTTAACTGTTTCAAACAGTATTGTTAAAAGTATAGAAAAATAAACCTTAGCTTATTTGTTATGCATTATTTCTGAACATATAACTAAACAAATTAAAAAATAATAAATCACAGCCTTTTTATTTTACTGACAAGGCAATTAATTTCTAGATACTCAATTCTGAATTCAAATGAAATAACATATAACAAAAACAGTTAATATTCTGAACTAAAGATGTAAATATGAATTGAAATCTATGTTCTTCTAGATGTATAAATATGTATGTGTATTATTACACATCCTTCCACAGGCAGCTAAAGCTTGTATTAATACATAACCATGAACAAAAAACATAGTTATAAAATGTAAAATATTACCACTAAAAACTGAATTTATTTGAGAATGTTTGTGGGTATAACCTTTTTTGTGTTTACTAGTTAAAAAAAAATATAAAAGTGGTAGCTTACCAGAAATAGTATTTATAAAAACAATATTTTATGTCAATTTTGATAGTTACTATTTTGCACCTTCAATGTTGCAGTACAAAAAAAAAAATGTATTTAGAATTTGTTATTTTCAACTTGAATGCCATCTTATGCAGCACTCGAGTGAAAAAGTCAGATGAAAAACATCGATGAGGATTCAAGCTTACCTATCCCTTGTTTAAAACTGGTGATTAGAGAGAAGGCCATCGGTCAGCAGTATCTGCTGCCTACACAGGTATTCTTAACCAAATAGTGCAAGTGTCTATTTGCAATTACAACACCTCCTCATCTGAATGTGTGGAGTACATTCAATGGTATATTGTAGCTCAAACTTTGGATCTTCCCATCTGCAGCCTGGCACATTAAACCCTAACCCATTATGATTCTCAATAATCTGTGATCTGCCAGCTACGTTCAGGTGGTTTGGAAAAAGGTTGCATAGTTATGAAAAGGAAGCAGCAACTTAGTGTATAGATCGAAGTGTGGTCCAGAGATGTAAAAATACAACCAAAAAAATGTGAGAACCACTGCATTAGACCATACAATAAAAAAGTAGACACTTGAATGACAACCAATAAACATACAGAATAAGTGAACATCTCTACTTATCATTTCTTTACTAGACTTTACTCTAAATAAATAACTGGAAAAAAAAGTCATGAATTTGCTCTCTAGGTTCATAATCTGCATATTGTGTACTTACGAAAAGTTTTTGTCTTTATTAACTTGAACTTTACTAGAGTAAGTAACAGAATCATGGAAACATCTTCACTAAGAAACAGCTATCTGTGTGCAATGTTTGACAGTTACCATTTTAAACCCGGTAAGGATGGTTACTTAGATTATTAAACCTTTGAGGGTGAGAACATTCATGCCTTATTCTATCAACTTTTCTTGGTGTAAAGAATAAGTTGCATATAGTAAGTTTGGGCTTATGATATGTCCACTGTTTCCTACTGAGAGTGAATAAGTTCAAGATGTAGTAGATGTAAATGCATTTTAGCTTCACCTACTTGATTTTTTCACGTAATTAACTTGGGTTGATTTTAATGATTATATTACAAACTGGAAAACCTCTGGTAGCCATAATACCCTCATTACTATAAATTTCTTATTTAACCACAAGCTTTCTACACATTTTTATCTCCCAATAGAGTTGGAAAACTCAAAGTTTATCTTCCTTTTTTTTGTTTTTATGTTATTCTTCATTATACAGTACCTGACAAGAGCTTTTAGAACAAATATTTATACATAAAATATGTATTGTTGCTTTTCACAAAACTCTGACAAGAGCTTTTAAAACAAATATGTATACATACAAGATGTGTTGTTTTTTTTCACAAAACTCTGACAAGAGCTTTTAGAACAAATATGTATACATACAAGATGTGTTGTTGTTGTTTTTTACAAAACTCTGACAAGAGCTTTTAGAACAAATATGTATACATACAACATGTATTGTTGATTTTCACAAAACTCTGACAAGAGCTTTTAGAACAAATATGTATACATACAAGATGTGTTGTTGTTGTTTTTCACAAAACTCTGTAACTTACTTTTGCATTAGAAGTGATATGTCTCTCTCTGTTGGGTGAAACTATAGGTTCTTGAGCAGTATTTATGGAACCCACTGGAGTTGTCTATAAAAACAAAAGATTTCTTACTCAAACAACTTGGAGATCTTTAATTTCCATTTTATACAAGTCCAAGAATGGTAAAAGAATTTACTAGAAACCCTTGGATTTTATCTCTATGACCTGCTTTAGAAACATTTAATCTTTATCAATGGGGACAATAGCAATGAATGTTTCAAAAGTTCATTAAAATGTTTTTCCAAAATCACATACTTGCTATTAATACTTTTATGACCAGTCATTTTGGTTCCCAGGAACCAAAGAAATTTGACAAAATATCAAACATCTTATAACTGTATACTGGGTCCCCATTATACATTGCATTGCTCTGCATTGTTTCATTATTAGTGTTCACCAATTACTACCCATGTATCAAACAATGTTGCCTTGTTTTGTTACTAGAGCGTTCCAACATCAGACTACTTTTCCAGGTGTAGTGTTTACCAATTACTGCCAATATTTTCGAAATAATGTCGCCTTGTTTCATTACTAGTGTTATTTCTCTCAGCCTCGGCATCCTTTACTGTTTACTTTATTTAAGATATATAAATTAGTATAGCATAAAATCGTAGCTTACAATCCATACTTTAATAGTATATAAGAATTAAGTTCTTAATTTTATAAGGCAATATTAAAAATAATCCTGCATTTCCCCTAGTGTGAGAAAGGTGACATTTTTTCTCTAGGCATCCCCTCTTCTCTAATTTATTCACCACCCCTCCGATAAGTATGAAATTTAACGCAAATTACTCAGTATAATATCATCATCATCGCTCTGACAAAGCCTTCACTCGCTCACCTCATACAAGCCTTACAACCACTACAGTACTCGTAGTATTAAACGTAATCAATGTTTAGTCTTTAATGTTCTTATATGCACATTTTGTATAGTACACTGGAGTTAAAAAAAAGCCATGTTACACGCTTTAAAAATTTATACAAGAGTGGACCGAAATTTTTCAGGAACGCATCCCCCATAATACATCTAAATATTGTGTTTTGTTAACGTCATTTCAGATGTACATCCCACTTTCCAGGAATGCATCACGATGTACAACGGGAACCCCTGTACTGTACATCTCCCTAAAAAAAATCCTACAAAACATATATCATTGGAATCGATGTAAAAAAATATATAATAACCCTATCAAAAACTCCCATATGATTCAAGAATATAAACAACACACATACTAAGCATATCTCTATGGTAAGCAACGGTTTAACACACCTAAGTTATCTACAAGTGACAATACGGGTCTTTCACATATTGCAATAGTATTCTAAATTTACTTTTGACACTAAAAAATAAACAATATTATTATGGATTACTAGTATTAATGGAGATATGACTAATGAAGTAATATGCTGAAATAGATGTACTACTCTTGCAATCATAAGAAAACTTCATGAACAATATCAAACTAACAAACAGAAAATTTTGCTGATCACACTACTCTCTCTGTTAACACAAAGAACTTTTCATTATAAACCTTCTTAACAAAGGTCATTTAGAAAACATTACAGAATATATTACACTAACTGCAACGATTGTAAAATCAAAGTTTTCAGGCCAATTTAAATAAAATTCACAGAAAAGTTGATCTTTGTAGAGATAAATAGACAGATAACTTCACAAACTATAAAATTTAATACAATTTTGCTCAGTAACAAAACTTATAACTGTTGCTCAAAGATGCATGTTAAAAACTATTTCTCAACTGTCAACTATCAACAATCATTTCTGTGAATATTAGTCCTAAAGAAACCTTTACCGTAAATATAATTAATTGTTGAAACACTAAATTTATGCTTCTTAATCTAATAGAAAATAAAAACAATTGTAATAAAAAATATTTTTAATTTAACAAAAAATGGGTGAATAACCTTATCATTAATTATGGTAGTACTTAATAGTAGGGATAGTGATGAAACAAAATAGCAGCCATACAAATTGCCCATTTAAAACAACCTTTAAATTGTCGGAAAATTAACAATTACTATTTCACAGTATTGGCTCAGCAAAACTAAAGCTTAATTTACTTATAAAGCTGCCTCAATCACTGTATACATGTTTATTATAGAGTGAATCATAATTTCACTATTTTAACGAATTTTCGTATAATTAAGTAAGTGATGTTTCCAGACAAGCATACCAAAAAAATTTCGAAACTTATTGCTCTAGTTCTTTCACAGAACTCTTCCATCTGGGGTTCAAGCGATTCCTTTATTGTATATATAAAACAAATGATGTGCTACTTTGGGCATATAATCAGATTTGAAGGTAGGTTGGTAGAGATCCTGGTGAGTAATAAAACTGAATTGGGTATATGCACAAACAGATGCTTGGTATTGCTGGCACACAAAAATATAACTAATAAATAGGAAACAAAAAGTATAATAAAAAATATGTATAAAGATGAGTGGGGATCAATATATATATATATGTGTGTGTGTGTGTGTGTGTGTGTGTGTGTGTGTGTGTGTGTGACCTAGCTAGCTATAGTAGTATAGAAAATTTTAATGCTATAAAAAGTATTAAAACAAGAAAATCAAAAGTACAAAACTGAGTTACTTAAAATTTACAAACTTTTATCCCTACTTTAGCTCAGACTAACATAATTACAGTGATTTGCCACATTAGGAATAATTTATTTTTTATTTTTAAGTAACTCAGCTTTTGTAGTTTTGACTTTATTGTTTCAATATATTTTGTAGCATTAAAACTTTCTATATTACCTTAGCTAGCTAGGTTACATATATATATCGATCCTTCCTCGTACAAAATTATTTTTATTATACTTGTATTTTAAACAAACTGATTATTTGCACAAATATAAGTAATTTAGACTCCTCTAAATAATGTGTATTTTTTAAATAATTATAAAATACATTTTCTTTACATAGACTTAAATAATCACATTCTTGGAATAATTCGGATTATTTTGCAAAATACTGTAAGAAGATGCACAGAGAATACTTACTAATTGTTTTCCACACCAATCAAAATCTGTATCCAGATATCCATTTTTATCAAAAAGATCCTGGAATAATTTTCTTAGATAGTCATAATCTGGAGTTTCAAAGAAATCCAGCCTTCTCACATATCTTAGATATGTGGACATTTCCTCTGGTGAGAAATAATTACTGTTCATTAGATAAATGCACGATTAGAAAAACGAAAATAATTATTAGGAATTCAAAATGCAAAATGTTTAAAAAAAATTAACTTAAATGTTTTTCCAGTTTATAACTGGATAATCCCATTTTGTTCATACAAACAGTTTCATTTGCAGTGCCAACAAATATTTTTAGTTCCCAAAGTAAACAGCTCTTTCACAAATGTAAATGAATTTAATATATCTATATAACACACAAGACTATACAAAAATAATACAAAAAATATTTTCAGTATACATACATTTTTCATCTATACAGCAACCTAATTGCAAATATATTCCAATTAATATTAAATTAGTTAGATTTAATGGCCCCAAAGAATTATCATAAGACAAGCAGTTCTAACATGTAATATATGTACTTACTCAGATAATGTTAGAATCAACTTAAAAGTGCTAATTAAGCAAATAACCTTACAAAGCCAACACACAATACAGGCATGCAGGAAGCACCCCAGGTTGTTTAATTCTTTATAAAAAATAATTTTTTGTTTTACAAGTAAGGCTTCAAACATATGATACATTGAGAAGATAAAGGCATAGGAAACTAATTACATAATTATTCTGATTCACAAATATCTATAATAAATACTTTGAACTATAAAGTCTTTGTTTTTCTAAGTCTTATTTTTTTGTTCAATGTAAACATGAGTTGTAAAATTATTACAATTTTACTAATGATGAATATAAAGTACAATGTAGTGTACACAAGATCACATTTAACTGTGTTATGGTTCTCATCACATATACAAGAAAAACAAATTTTTCAAAAATTCTAATTCTGTAATTTCTGTAAGTTTTTTTTTTTATTGTAACGACTTACATTTTTTATTTATGTCTGATCCCCATTCAATGCTGATGCAGAATGAGTGAAAAACATACTGTTCAAGTGTTTCACTTTATTTTATTGTGATTCGAGTACAGTATCTACACATAAAACATCACTTCAATGATGCTTAAAGGTTTTCTGACTTGGCACACAGATTTCTAAGAAACAATTACAACATTATTAACACTAGCATCACTTGCCTCATTGCTTAAATTCATTAAAATATCATGCTACTCACATTATAAAAGCATTACGGTTAATAAATGCCAATATACACAAATTCTAAAATACTTACCTGGATAACCATCACATAATACTTCTACAGGAGTTGTCCTCTTGGTGTCTCCAATTTTTTGGTAACGCTCCTTCAGTGTTTCTGCCTTCAACCCTTGCCACGGTAAACTGCCTCGAAGAAAATACATAAACATGTGACCTAAGGCTTCCAGATCATCCCGACGGCTCTGCTCTGGATACAATGCATCAAGAATTCAATTGTAATAAAATATTAAAATCCAGTGAACACACGATTATAAAACTGATAGTTTCAACACGTATATCATTACATAAATCACTCCATTTTCCCTAATACTTTAACTTAATCCATTAATCAGAAAGAATCAAAAATATTAGATGGAGAAAAAATTAAATGAAGAAATTTTGAGCCATATAAAACTATATCTTAATTTCAAATTTTGTAGACCATAAATATATATTTTCAAATACTTAAGAACCAATTGTAAAGTGACTATTACTGAGGTTTTCCAGCGTTGTATGGTTAGAGCTATTTTCATTAGGAGAATTTATATACTAAAATTATTATATACATAACAAATACCACATGAAAATAATATTAATGCTAAAATAAATGCAAATATACCTCTGCCTAAATGAGTATTGACACTCATATATCTAGCTGTTCCCGTTAAGCTCTTGTGCTCTTTGTAAGGTATATGTTTATTGGTTTCTGGATCTATATATTCCTTTGCTAAACCAAAATCTATGATGTGTATAATGTTCTGCTTTTTGGTTGAGTGTCTTCCAATCAGAAAGTTCTCCGGCTTTACATCTCGGTAGATGAGGTGCTTGGCATGGACAAATTCTAAGCGATGTAGCTGCAAGTCGTAAAATACAGCTACATTTTTATTATCTAAAGTGAAAAAATGATGAAATACAAACACCTTAAGCAAACAAACAAGTCTAAGTTCATTAAACTTACACAAAGAAAAGCAGCTATTAGGTATTCAGCAAAACCTATGAATACTAAATTGTCATCTTGTCTCTTACAATTTAAAGTACTAATATATTTATGACTAGTCAGAAACAACCTATTAACCATTCACAACAATAAATCATTTTTTTTACAAGTTAATTTTAAATTTGCTAAATTTATTTACTTCTATCACACAGATAATTATAATTCATAGAGAATCTTTATTCAACAGAAAGATCTTATGTAAAACTACCTTATTAGCTGCAATTATTTATATTTATCCCTACAAAAGCCCAGAGTTTGTTTGTTTTTTACTGTGTTTGGCAATTCAAGTAGATTCGAATATATTGTATAAATGTTGCAAATAAGATTCACAGTGCCAAAATAATTCAAGAAACTACAGCAGAAATCAAGTATATGCTATCGAAAATTTTAGGTTTCAAAAAAACTTGAAATTCATGCAGTCCATGAATATGTTACAACTTTTGAAAATAATAAATTTGGGTCTTTTTCCCAAACAGCAAGTATATTTTTTATGTTATATTGTTTATATTTCAGGCTAAAAATAACTTTTCCTAAACACTAGTAACCTCATTACAGTTTCTCATATAAATGTTGTTCTTTTTTAAATTTATTCCAAATAACAACAAATATAAAGATATTACAAGAAATATTAATAAAATTTAAGTAGCCACGAGGTTTCTCTAATGGAAATACTTTTTCTCTAACATAACTGACAAAACAAAAGAACAGATGAAAATTGTAAATATTTTGTTTTCAGACAACTTACAAGTTGGACAGCAATTAGTAACACAGTCTTCAAAGTGAACTTCCTATCACAGAGATCAAACAAATCTTCTAAACTGGGTCCATGTAGCTCCATGACTAATGCATTGTATTTGCCGCATGGTCCAAAGTAGTATACATTTGGTACTCCTTCTGTATGAATAAATAAATATTATACATTTATCATTCCTCAAGCGCTGACAAAATCTTAGCACATGATAGACATAAATGTTATTATAAAATCCTATTAATACACACTTTTAAAAAGAGAATTCATCAACAGATAAAATATATAAAATGTAATAAAATGGTTTTTAATCATTACAGAGAATTACTTGTGAGTGAATGAAAGGAAGATGTAGTGGCATACTAGTGGTGGTTTAGGCACTATTTATATCATCAGTTGGATGAATAGTGAGTAAAGATTTTGTTAGATAGTCTGTCACCTTTTATATAAAAGGTTGGTTAAAATTTTATTCTACAAGTATAAAAATTATTTCATTCAAGCATTGCGAATTCAGAAATAAATACTTTCTTGGAGGTAACAGAATAAATAAACGGATAGAAGTAGATTTTAATCAGACACAACAATAACGGATCTATATTAATAAACATCTATTAGTAATTGCATCAACCTACTTAGACAGTTCAGTGAATTAGCCAACATGTGACTGCACAAAAAACTTAAGCACCTTTTTATGTATAAATACATTTAAAAGAGTTTGAAATCAAAACCAAATTTCTAAAGTTTCTCATTGCAAAATAACAGATAACCTGTAAGTTTTTTTTATAAATTCTGTTAAAACTGGGTAAATAATTAAGAATTATGCTCCATTTTAATTGCATTGTAAAGTAAGAAAATTATCCTTAAACAATACCAATAAAAGTTAGTATTTTCAATGTTTAATTTTTATAAGAATAAAGGAATTTGTTGACTTACTACTATAATACTTGCCATATTTGTTGTTGTTTTTTAATCTACATTAATGTCCTAAATTCAGAAAAAATGGGATAGTGATTAAATATTTTTTACTGAACTTTTAGATACCAATCCCTTATCTATTCACATTTTTGTATACAAATACTCATACCCAAGTGGCCTATAAAATCAACCTAAGAATACAAATACTACTGTTTTTCACTCTGGAGTGTAGATTTTGGTAGTATGCTACTTATTTTTTTTAACATGGCATAATTACATATATCAATTAGTATTAGCATATCTTACCACTGTTCCCTAACAACTTGTAAAATCTATATTCTAAGTGAAGTTGAGGAGCTTTGGACTTCATTGGTTCCTAGAAAAACAAATTCCATATTGTGTATATTTATCCTCTTTTTTTTAATCTAACTTAAAATTAAAAAATAATAATATTCAATCAATTTCTAAGCTTATATGTTTTTTATATTACAGTTCAACTCTAGCTACATAAGGAGAAAACCAGAGTATTAAATCTAGCTGGAAAACTGAATAAACTCCTTTGAAATGAAAGAGTATAAATGTGTGGATGTACATCTAAAGATTTTACCAAGTTGCTCTCACATCTCTATCACTGAACCAACTGGGCTGCTGAGAGCTAACACTGCTTGAAACTAGTTTTCAGCTGGTCATGGTATGAGTTAGGTGCCTAATGTGAACTACATGTTTTCATATCACTTATTTGTTGTTGGTTTTTTTCATTACCTATCTATAAAATTCATTGATTTAAGTATTGCCAATTCAGAAATAAACAATACAAGTCATTTAATATGCATGTATGTTATACAAGATATTATAAATATTTCTCCTAAAAAGAATATAACCATTTGAATAAGTAATTTAAAAAAATAATCGAGATAACAGAAAACTTGTACACAAACTTTCTGTTTCATACAATAAAAATCAGGGTTATACTCTTATGTTTTGAGACTTTCAAGTCAGGCTCAGTTCAAGCCTAATGTATAGTTTTTATCTAATCCTTTGAATTCTGGAAACTTCATAGCATTTTTAGTATTAGGTCATCAAGAAATTAATGTCACTTCTTTTTCGATGAAAAAAACCCAAACAACATGTACATCAAAACAAGACATTTATTAAATGAAATAGTCTCCATTCTTATCAATGATGCTTTTCCATCTTCCATTCAGGTTGTTAATGCCCTGATTAAAGAA